GGCATTATTGGAGACACAGGTGAACAATGGCTCCATTGTTGCAACTGTGCCGGTGGGTTGAATGGCGTGGGTGAGGCGGCGGATGAAGTTTTGAGGTCACGAGCTTGTAATGACTTGGGAAATTCTAGCAGTACAGGTCCCTTTGGTTTCCCCGCTTATCGTACATGGAGGGAAGAGAGTTGGTAGGGGGTATCACGTTAAACATAGACTCCGACGGCGCAGATCATGAAGACAGATCCAAAACTACCAATGGAAACTGAGGTCAGCCTTCTGAAAGGACCAGAATATACCTGTGATGTCTCATTTACTCACCCAAATAGTAATGAAGCTGGCAGACCCACGGAAGTGAGGCTCAGGAATGAACGGTCTGATTCGAGTTAGTGTCAAGCAACTCGAGATTGGTTTCGTATCTGTTGGGCAAGGAACTCACTCAGTCCAAAAAGACCAGTAAAAATGACCGCTAGAGACGAGTTAGTAATGTCAACTAACATGAGGCCAGTTGTTCGTACCGAGCAGAAGTAGACAGAAGCCGACGAAGAATTGGCTATCTTTGGGCACAAGAGGTTGGAATGGGGATCCGGAAGCTGCCTCCCAGACTTCGTTCAGAGACATGAGTGATATGTTAGGGGGTGGTGGTGAATGAAGGATGGGATAGCGAAGAGAGTTAATTAGTTAAAGAGAGTAGTAGTTACATAGCTGGTCTTAGTAGAAACGCGCTTGGCTGATCTGGCCCGATTACATAATACCTCAAACTCCGGGGGCGACGTGCTCCGCAAGGAACGCGATCGCAGTCATCGTCCCCTCAGTCAACTCATCATGGCCGTTGTTTCACCTAAGAGTAAATTGAATTCAATCCAGAAACCGGGATGTATACTGACTGATCATCTCATTCATAGCCTCCAAGAGGAAGGCCTCGGAAGAAGCCGCCTCCCCGGATTCACAACAGCAAGCTAGCAAGAAAGCGCGCACCGATTCCCCCGAGAAAGAGGTGTGTTCGACGATTGGAAATTGTTTGAGCTTTGGGACGCAGCTGATTTCAAAATCTAGGAGGATGGTCCGCTGGATAAAACGCCATTGCGCATCGTGCCTTTCCCCGAAAAGGTGAGAACTGCCTATCCCCTCATCGAATCGCCCCTCTCGACTCTCCACATGCGCAAAACCATAATGGGCCCCGTTTTAACATGTCGAATTAGCCTGCCGTCTTAGAAGAACGCCGTGGAGATATCGAGTTCCGCGTAGTGAATAATGACGGATCGCACGACAGTTTCATTGTCCTCACGGGCTTGAAATGTATCTTCCAAAAACAACTGCCCAAAATGCCAAAGGACTATATCGCTCGACTCGTGTATGATCGATCGCATTTGTCTATTGCCATTGTGAAGCATCCATTGGAAGTGGTCGGGTATGTGCAAATGAATATGGAAATCATACATGGATGATGCTGACGGACATGACCTCAGAGGAATTACATATCGCCCGTTCAATAGTCGCAAATTCGCCGAGATTGTTTTCTGTGCCATTTCATCCGACCAACAGGTCAAAGGCTATGGTGCGCACCTCATGTCCCATCTGAAGGTATGTTCGAAAACTTGCACCTACCAGACCATCTGAGCCTAATGTTCATTGCACAGGATTACGTGAAAGCCACCTCCCCCATCATGCATTTTCTCACATATGCCGACAATTACGCTATTGGATACTTCAAAAAGCAAGGGTTTACGAAAGAGATCACACTGGATAAATCTATTTGGATGGGCTACATCAAGGACTACGAAGGAGGTACTATCATGCAGTGCACAATGCTACCGAAGATACGGTACCTCGAAATGGGTCGCATGCTTCTGAAGCAAAAAGAGGCCGTCCAAGCGAAGATCCGTGCCTTCAGTCGGTCGCATATTGTTCATCAGGCACCAAAGGAATGGAAGAATGGCGTCAGCAAAATTGATCCTCTCTCTATCAGTGCCATCAAGGAATCTGGATGGTCTCCGGATATGGATGAGCTAGCCCGCCAACCACGCCATGGGCCGAACTACAACCAACTTTTGCATCTTCTCAATGATATGCAAAACCACAGCGCTGCCTGGCCCTTCACCCAACCTGTGAATCGCGACGAGGTTCCCGATTACTACGAAGTGATTTTGGAGCCGATGGACTTGTCCACCATGGAGGAGAAACATGAGAAGGACATGTACCCCACTCCACAGGATTTTATCAAAGATGCGACGTTGATCTTTGGTAACTGTCGACGTTATAATAATGAGACTACTCCTTATGCCAAGAGTGCTAACAAACTTGAGAAGTTTATGTATCAGCAGATACGGAATATTCCCGAGTGGTCGGTAAGTGCAAAAGTTGCAAGGGTCCATCTTGGTAGCATGCTAACATCTGATTTTCTAGCATCTCGGCGAAGGACACTAGTCCTCCCTGATTTGGACATGTGTGGCTTTTCTTCTTTCTTTCTTTCTTTCTTCGCGACGGCGTTTAGATGGGATGGCGTTCGGAGAGACTCAATTTTAGCAATACCCTGTGGATAGTTTTTAAGGAGCATAAGAACCGAAAGGTGTTATGAAAATATGAATGATCACCGAGAACTGTACGGAGTAATGGAGTAATGTAGTCATGGAGTATAGGACATACTCCGTTAGTAAGGATAGGCTTTCGATGATGCAATGTTCCTCACGCGAAGTGGCAGGTGGGTCCCGGATAAATATAGTTGCGGTGTTGTTTCATCTCCGAGAATCCTGGGCAGTCTGCGTGGCTGGGCGATCTGCTTGTTCGCTTTCACCTTCGCCCTGACTGAGCCTGGTCTCGTTCGTTTTTACCCCAACTTCATGGGATTTTCTTGCTTCATCATTCCTCTGAGTTCCTGGCTGCTGTAGAGCGGCTTTTGGCCAAGTTTGTGCGACAAAACTGTGGTCCCCGGGACTTGTCTCCTATTCCGATAAACATTGCGTGTCCCGCGACGCCAGACTCGATTCTTTTCGCTATACCCTCTTTTGAATACCCACAAGGGTCTCTCTCGTCCTTTTTCACCTCTCGGCAAACCTCTTGAAAATTTCCTTCCTCCAGTTGTTGTGTTGGAACCCCATTACCAACGCGATCCGCTCCAACACGTTCTCTACCCCCTTTTGCAGCCCCTCCTCAAATTTTTGGAACATTCGGTGCTGGTCATTTCACGGGTGACGAATCCTCGACAACTTGCTCAAAATGGCCTCGCCAGATTCCTTTCTCGATGTGGAGCAGCGAAACCGTCTGCCCACTCTCTTCGAAGTCCTCAGTCGCCGCACACTGGCACCCGTCGACCTCTTCTCCTTTTACATCTACATGCGAGACCAGCAGCGCTCGGTGGATTACTTGGATTTTTGGTAAGACTAGCCGCACGCCTACAAATCAATTCAGATTCTAATCATTTTCCTTTCATTAAACAGGTTGGATGTTTCACAACACATGTCCCTATGCCGCCATTATGTTAGAGAACTTCGTCGGTCCGTCCTTGTCGCAACACCTGATATGGAGAGGGCCGACAGCAAACGGTCGTCCGCGATGTTAGACAACCTGGAGAGCCTGGGCGATATTCCGTTAGTGGAGGCTGGGCCTTCACGTTTGCAGTCCAATGAGAAGGATAGAGATGCTGACCACCGCCTCTCTGCTTTCCTGCGCTCTGAAGGCGCTACTTCCTCACACTCGCCCCAGAACAGCATTGGATCCCAATCAGTATATCGCACCCCATCCAACGACGTGCAACCGCGCCCGAGTGACGGCACCCGGAATGGTGACTCGAACTCTCCTGGGCATACTGTGGCTCGTAACGATATCCGTGCAAGTGCCGAAAAGATTCTTTACACCTACCTTCTACCTGGCTCGGAGCGAGAAATTATTCTCCCCGAAACAATGGTTTCCACCATCATCAACCTGATCGAAGACGACAACCGTGACGATCCCGAGGTATTCGACCCCGCTAAGGATTATGTCTTCCAAGCTATGGAGCGTGATGCTTTCCCAGGCTTCTTGCAGGCCAAGGCACTGGGAAATCTCGTCCCTCTGAGCATTATCGCTCGCCTGGCCTTCGCCCTTATCAGCTTCGGGGGTGGATTCTGGGGTGCTTTCTATGTGGTGCTCCGCAACAAGCCGCGTGGCATTCGCTGCTGGGTTATTCTCCCATTTGCCGTGGCGGCTTACTTCATTGTCTCTTACCAGTACAAGATTGATCCCGCTATGGCATTTGTTGGCTACAGCGAGTACACTTTCATGAATTGGGCCCCGATCCGCGAACCATACGTCCGAAAGCTCCTGAACAAGCGTGCTCTGGTGACTGCGGCAATCGCCTTCCTGACCGCTGCTGCTTTGAGTATCTTGTTCATCTTCGTCCCCGGTACTATGCTGTAAACCAGTCTTACCTCCCCTAATGATCAACCCCGCCGCTCTGTTGGTTTCTGATTCTCGTGCAATGTCCGAGGCGCGACCCAGGTTCTTTCAGTGTCTGCATTCGTATGCTTCAGTGAAATGTTTCTCAATTTGGCGTCTGGATTCTACTATTCTGGCTTGCTTCTGTGAAGCATAATATTTCAACCTCCATTGCTCTCGGTTCGCTTCGCAGCCTGTCCTTCTGGTGCACTGCAACTGCACCGAGAGTGATTTTACCCTCTCACTCCCTCTCCACCATCAACAGTTGGCGACCACGCCTCTTCTCCTTACCGTGTCGATATTCGCCATTTCCTTTTCCGTCTTTTCCCTTCTACCAATACCCCTTCTGATATTCGATCTATTCTTTTTTGTATCTATGTTCTCTACGAGTTTTGCCACTAGGACTTCACGAATACATTTCTTGTTGTCGGAGAACAGAATCAATGTATACGGAATCATATCATTTAAAGCTCACGACCCTTAGGAGCAAATTTACTAGTAGTCAAGTATGAGAGTCATAACATTCATCATCATGCGGAATCTAGTGCAATGCTGTAGTACGACATCAGCGTCGTATTGTTTACTAGGCTCTGAGCTTAAGCCTTTCTCCCCCCAAGTATGCGCTTCGAGTGCCTACTCCCACCACGAGCCGCCGGCCCTTCATCGATATCCATCCGTGAACCAGCCTCCGCAGCACCTTCCCCAGATTCCCAGAACCCATCGTCGCGATCGATATCATCGGCTTCCCGCTTATTACCCGGAACCCCGCCACCAGCACCCCACCGCCCAGCCGGCCTCCGTCCAAAGGCACCAAGTTTCCCACGCGACGAGCCGCCGGAAGACGCATCGATACCCATTCCCTTTCGCCGTTCCATGGCCTCCTCGATGCGCTTTTGGTAAGCCTGATCCTTGGCATGGCGCGCCGTCGCATTGGATTTGACCCGCGCAATCTCAGCTTCCAGGTCGGAGACGACTTCTCCGCATCGGGCTTCCCAGTCGGCTAGGAGGGAGATCATTTTGGGCAGAACCTGCGGCTGGACGTCGCGGAGGGGCGCGACGGCGGTGACGTTCACGTTGGGTGGGGTCGTTGCGGGGGATAGACGTGCGGAGATCAGATTTGCGTAGATGGCTGTTGTCACGAGGGACTCTAGCTCTGCGGTTGAGGAGAAAGAGAGCGCGTTCATGAGAGCGGGGTATGTTAGAGATGTGGCGGATGCGGCGAGAGAGAGGAGGGAGAGGAGGCGGAGTTTGAGAGATTGTTCGCTGCTGAGTTTCGGGAGGTTGGGTGTTTCTGTGATGGGGGTCATGTTAGTTTTCGCTGTACATAGGGTGGCATTTTTCTCCCAGAATAATAGTAGACGGTTCTGAGGTAATTGTACCTTGGTATTCCTGCCATGTGCCCCAGGCGAAGATCTGGAGTAGCTTCAGGTAGGCCTGGTATTCGGCCGGGGTGTCTGGAGAGGCTAGGGCTTGAACTGTTTCGGTTTCGAGAAGCTCTGCGAAGACGTAGGTTTGGGGACTCGATGTGGCATTCGTAATCAGGTTTGCGATGAAGCGTGGGGAGGTGGCACTATTGGAGTTGGCGAGATGAATGAATGGCTGTAGAGCCTCCAAGGCTCGGGCATGTGTTTGATCCATGGTGCGTATGAATCAGGCGGTCAGCTGGGTCAGCTCAATTTCTGGGTGAACAGTAATGAGTAAGCGAGGAGATGGTGGGGGAGTGAAGCAGGAGAGTGTGATGGGTTGAATTGTGTCTAGACGGAGTCGAAGTTCAAGTTGGGGTTGGGGTTGAAGCGGAGCGGAGCTTGTTTGCATTGTATGCACCAGGCATCCACTGGCAGTAGTACATAGTATCAACAATTATGAATGGATAACAGTATTCTAGAGATCAAGTGAGGAGCTATACAGTAAATATAATAACTTGAAAACGGCTCTGAATGGATACATACCCATATATCCATATACTATGTATATATACTATGTACATGTACACATAGTATAATGTGGTATGTAAGCCACCTTACCAGATTAGACAATGGATCTGTTCGGTTTATTCTGACTGTTTAATTGGTTGGTGAGTCGGATCTTATCACCTTTGCCAAGTGATCTGAGAGTATGTACGATCTATAGACATGACCTCCCACTCAAGCCTTACTCTCGGAATCAAAGCTTAACAGTTGCCTTTGTGGCGCAGTGGTAACGCGTTCCACTCGTATATTCTTCTTCTGAAGTGTCAATCGGCTATGGAAAGATCGCCGGTTCGATTCCGGCCAAAGGCCTTTTTTTGTTTTTTCAATTCTAGATATTTTATCAATCTAGAGAATATGCTTAATCTTTTTGATCAATCTTTTTTGTATTTACCGCACCTTCCAGAACACTATGGTGTCACAGCAATAGATCATGGATGATACTAGTGCCAGTTAGAATCTTCTAATAGGAAGGTTGTACATAGGTATTCATCGATCCATAAGCCAGGGCCTCCTAGCTATCTTTTTGAAACACTCAAGGGTGGGTTGACAGTATTTGACAGCCCTTGACAGCCTCTGACACGCCATCACTGTTTCATGCCCCATCACAGTAGACCCTTCAATTCCGGTCTTGATATATCTGAAGAATCCAAGCTACTGGGCAGCCACAATTGGGAATTGGCCCGGCTAGTACGGAGTACGGAGTACATACTTTGTAGTACTAGTTCTTGCATAGATTGGCTTGAAGGGCGGAGTGGGCAACGCATTCCTTCACGCGGCAGAGACGATCCCGATCCACCCCATGCGTAATCTCCCTCTTTCCATTTCTCTATTTCTCTTTCTCTCCTCCCTTGAATTAGGTATCTTGGTCCTCCATTTTCCCCTCCCCTTCCAGATACGTGGCCTTTGTTTTGCTTTGCTTTGTTCAGCCGCTATTGTCTTGTCCATCTCCATGCGGGAATGATCTGATCGGACTTGGTCGATCCGAGGGCATCCGTCACTTTATCCTTTATCACGCTATCCTCTCATCACATCGCCTCGAGTGCCTGTCTAGCGTGCATGCGCGCTCTTAAAGACTATCGCCCTCATGCAATAATCGGTCGCCTCGCTACTTTCTCCTCTCCTCCTCCTTTCACCCCTCCTCATGTCCGCCAAACCAAGTGGTGCGGCTGATGCGATAGCCGCCCAGCGAATCCCCGCCATGGCTACAACCACCGTCAAGATTGATGGAATGACCTGCGGAGCTTGTACCTCCGCCGTCGAAAGCGCATTCAGGGGTATCGACGGTGCTGGCGATGTCTCTGTCAGCCTCATCATGGGTCGCGCCGCCATTCAACACGATCCTTCCATACTAGCCCCAGCCAAGGTGGCGGAGATGATTGAAGACTGTGGCTTTGACGCTGCGATTTTGTCAACGGAAGAACGGATTCAGACTACAGACATCGGTTCCTCCGATCTCTCTTCCGCGCGACCCTCCGCGACGACCCTCGCTGTCGAAGGTATGACCTGCGGCGCATGTACATCTGCGGTGGAAAGCGGATTAAAAGACGTCACCGGTGTGACATCTGTGAATGTATCGCTCTTGTCTGAGCGCGCGGTGGTGGAACATAATGTGGGAGAAATTTCTCCAGAACAAATCGCAGAACTCATTGAAGATCGAGGCTTTGGAGCGCGCGTGCTGGAAACAAAACCTTTATCGGCCTCCGGAAGTCATTCTGCCCTCGCCGACACCACTGAAAATAAATCCGGCCACACCGTCACCACCATTGCAGTGGGGGGTATGACCTGCGGCGCATGTACATCCAGTGTTCAGAATGCCTTTGCAAATGTGGATGGTGTCTTCCAGTTCAATATCAGCCTCTTGGCCGAACGTGCTGTCATTGTACATGATCCGTCAATACTGTCGGCCAAAGATCTTGCAACAATTGTGGAGGATTCTGGATTTGACGCATCCATCGTATCATCGGAAGCCCAGGAACCACTCTCAAAGAAAACCCAGCAAATCAATTTGACTTTGCACGGCTTGCGGGATGCTGCTTCCGCTGTAACTTTGGAAGACGATCTTCAAAGTTGCCCCGGGATCAAGTCGGCTTCAATAAATATGGCCAACAATCAGCTACTTGTGTCTTTCGACACATCCGTCATCGGGGTTCGGTCTATATTTGAGATCATCGAGGCGGCTGGATACAATGCCCTGATTACAGATACGGATGACACCAATGCACAGCTTGAGTCTTTGGCGAAAACAAAAGAGATCCAGGAATGGCGACGGGCATTCATGACCTCAATATCTTTTGCGGTCCCCGTCTTCATCATCAACATGATTTTGCCCATGTATCTGCCAGGCCTCGACTTTGGCAACTTCAGAATCATCCCAGGTCTTTACTTGGGAGACATACTCTGCCTCTGTCTGACGATTCCTGTGCAATTCGGTATCGGGCGACGATTCTATGCCACCAGTTATAAATCTCTTAAGCACAGGTCCCCTACCATGGATGTCCTGGTCATTCTAGGAACGTCTGCCGCCTTCTTTTACAGCTGTTTCACCATGATAATGGCTCTCCTCGACGACCAGCACATGCGACCAAGCACTGTTTTTGATACAAGCACTATGTTGATCACATTTATCACTCTGGGGCGCTGGATAGAGAATCGTGCCAAGGGGCAGACATCTGCCGCCCTGTCTCGGTTAATGTCTTTGACGCCCTCTATGACCAGTATATATGAAGACCCTATCGCGGCCGAAAAATTGGCCGCTAGCTGGGCCCCCGAAGGAGCCCCGGATGCTGCCAACTCGAATCTGAATGACGAAGCCTCGGTAAACCAAAAGATAATACCGACCGAGTTGATCCAAGTTGGCGACATTGTCATTCTTCGTCCTGGTGACAAAATCTCGGCCGATGGCGTGATTATTCGAGGCGAGAGCTATGTCGACGAAAGTATGATCACCGGTGAGGCATTGCCTATTCATAAGAAAAAAGGCAGTCATGTCATCGCCGGAACTGTCAATGGCACCAGCTCTGTCGATTTCAAAGTCATCCGGGCCGGGAAAGATACCCAACTCAGCCAAATCGTCAAATTGGTCCAGGACGCGCAAACAAGCCGAGCGCCCATCCAACGCATGGCAGATACTGTGGCAGGTTACTTTGTCCCCACGATCATCGGCCTTGGTTTGATTACCTTCTTTGGCTGGATGTTCCTAAGTCATGTGTTGAATAACCCGCCACAGATATTCCAGTCAAAGGATAGTGGTGGTCGAGTCATGGTCTGCCTGAAGCTTTGCATCTCGGTCATTGTTTTTGCCTGCCCTTGTGCTCTAGGCCTCAGCACGCCTACTGCAGTCATGGTCGGCACTGGCGTGGGTGCCGAGCATGGTATTCTTGTCAAGGGAGGTGCCGTTCTAGAGGCTGCTACCAAGGTCACCCACGTTGTCTTCGACAAGACTGGCACATTAACAACTGGCAAAATGAGTGTGTCTGAAGCCCAGATTGAGCCTCACTGGACTGCCAATGATTGGCGGCGTCGACTCTGGTGGCTCATTGTTGGTCTCGCAGAAATGGGAAGTGAGCACCCTATCGGCCATGCCATCATGTCCGAGGCCAAGACACAATCTGGAAACGGGATAGAGGATGGATTGCCAGGAAGTGTCGGCGACTTTGATGCCTGTGTAGGAAAGGGAATATCCGCCACCGTTGAGCCTACATCAAGTGTGGAGCGCATTCGCTACCAAGTTCTCATTGGGAACGCGGAGTTCCTTCGGTCAAAAGACATTCCTGTCCCCGCATCAGCAGACCCAGAATCCTCCGATGCTGCAGAGAGTGCAGCATCTGCTGCGGCACATAAACCCAACATTGTTTCTGGCGTCACCCGGATCCATGTTGCGATTGACAACCGATATGCAGGCACTATCTCTCTCTTGGACAGTCTCAAGAGTACAGCCGTGGCAGCCGTGGCAGCCCTACACCGCATGGGAATCTCGACATCAATGGTTACCGGCGATACGTTGTCTACAGCACTGACAATTGCTTCTGCTGTCGGAATCTCCTCTGCCTCTGTTCATGCATCCGCCTCGCCATCCGATAAACGTGCCATTATATCTTCTCTCCAATCAAACGGAGAGCGTGTTGCAATGGTCGGTGATGGCATAAACGATTCTCCTGCTCTCGCAACCGCATCCGTGGGAATTGCCTTGGCGTCAGGAACCGATGTAGCCGTGGAGGCAGCAGACATTGTCCTCATGCGTCCAGATGATCTTCTCTCTGTCCCAGCCAGTCTCTCTCTTTCGCGAGCGGTCTTCACGCGGATCAAGCTGAACCTGATGTGGGCTTGTTTGTACAACATCATCGGCTTACCATTCGCTATGGGCATCTTCCTACCTTTCACAGGACTCATGCTTCCCCCAATGGCAGCAGGCGCCGCAATGGCTCTGTCCAGTGTCTCGGTAGTTGTCAGCAGCTTACTTCTGAAGCTCTGGCGTCGTCCATCATGGATGGACGCCGAACGTCTCGAAAAGGAGCTGGGCTCCGGCGCCATTCCCATCAATGGCGCACGCCATGGCCGTAAGTCCAGCTGGTGGGTACCGGCGAAAATTCTTTCAACGGACCACCCAGCTTTACTGCGTCGGGTTGGTGACACTGTCTCCGCGCTGTGGTCAATGATTACCGGTAAGCGGACTGTCATCCGTGAGGATGAGGGTTATGTCCCGCTTCAGACCGTGGACTCTCCTGTTTAATCGGGACTTTACATTTGATGATTTACTCTTTGCATGTTTCTTATATGTTGATATCAATGTGATCTCAATCGTGTTTATTGGGCATTCTGGCTTGGGCTTTGAGTTTGGTTGATACAAACAACTTGGAATGGCGTTTGAAAATTATTTGTTTACGTGTTCGATACCTCTGCTGCACAAATCCATTCAACATTTTATTCTGATTTGATTGTAGTCTCCGGGTGAGGCTCGCGACTTAAAACACTAGGTATTCATATCTTTCCTTACTACTTCGCTTTAGATATGACCTACGTACAGGTTTACTGAACATCCAACACGAGCTTTATAAGTATTCTAAACTTTATTAGGTTGCAGTTTGGAGCATGATAAATCATACATATAGAAGTATCTTGAGATCTGCATCATTACTAATAGTAAGAGAATGATGCCTATGATATTGTATAATTCAGGATATGGCTATTAATCAATACTAGTACGCTAACGCTAAAAACTTTATTGAATGTGCAACTTGAACCTTCCACCAACAAACTTTGAACCTTGGAAGTAAAATAAACTCCCAATTACCACCCGACTACTCTAACGCTTTCTCTTTCTCACTCGACTCCCTGGAATCACCAGAATCACCAGAGCCACCGGACTCCACATCATTAGATGGTCGACCCTGAAGACCCTGTTTCGAGCTCAACGCCTGATTCAATGTATAATCCTTGGTGAAAAGGCTCAATAAGAGAGCAAGGCCCCCAATCCCGCACATAACCGCCCAAACGATAACAAGAGCCTTTGCGTATAAGCTTTCAAGTAAATTCCTCTCCGCGCTGCTCTTCGGTAGAGTGTGGATGTATTGCACCAGACTAGAAGCATCCTGCGCATAGGCAAGAGCGGACCTGCCAAGAGAAGGATGATCGCCAAATTCGTGAATAATGCGGTTTTGGAACACGACACCGCCAATCGCAACTCCAACGGCCTGGCCAAATACCCGGAAGAAGGGGGTCATGGAGACGGAGATGGAGAGATATTCCGGGTTCGCGGCGGCTTGAACAGCGAGCATCACGGTGGGATAGAGGGTACCAACGCCAACGCCTGCGACAAGGTTGATGAAGAGCCATTTAGGAATGCTTGTTTCGGAATCAAGTAGGCACAGAAGTCCTATTCCGAGAATCGTGACTGGCCAGCCGAACCAAAGGGCCCAGCGGTATCGACCGACTTTGGCACAGATGAATCCGGTTATCACGGAGATGGGTGCCACTGTAAAACATTCTGGGAACATTGCAATACCTGCTATCACGGGCTTATAGCCTAGTGAGCCTTCGTAGTATAGTGGCAGGTAGTAGACGACAGCCCAAAGTATCACACCATGGAGGAAGCAGCCGGCGTAGCTTACTGACATGGTCACATTGTTGAAAATAACAAGTGGAATGAGCGGTTGTGTCGCGATGAATCGCTCGTACATGCAGAATCCGATCAGTCCTGCAACTCCCAGAATGAGAGGGACAAGAGTATGCCACGAATCCCATGCATACATGGTCCCTCCCCAAGTGATGGGGATAAGGAAAGACGTCAGTGAAGCGACGAACAAGAATGAACCGATATAGTCAATCCTTTTAAGACTCTCTCGCAGGGGAGGTATCTGCGTGGTGTTGAGCTTCAGAAATATCGGAATCAAGATCAATCCGAGGCCACAGAAGGGGAGATTAATCCAAAAGATCCATCTCCAAGAGGCAGATGACTCCGTGAAACCACCACCAATCAGTGGTCCAACAACAGTACCGAGGGCCCAAGTTCCTGAGCGAATGCTGAACCATTTCCCTCTCTCACGTAGAGGAATCAGATCGGCGATGAGAATCTCGGTGAGAACCATGATCCCTCCTCCGCCAATGCCTTGGAATGAACGGCCAACGAGAAGCAAAGCAAAGCCCTTGGCAACAGCAGCCAGGATGGAACCCAGAGTAAACGATACCACAGCTGTTATGAGGATAGGCTTGCGTCCGAAGATGTCTGATGCGAGGGAAAAGACGGGTTGAAAAACGCAAGAGGCTACAAGGAATGATGTTCCAGCCCAGAAGGCCTCTGTAGCCGTGCCCCCAAGGTCTTCGGAAATGGTCTATGAAGAAGATTTCGAATTAGATAATGATATCAGATGTACTTTCAGACAGCTTACCGGAAGAGCAACCGATATCGAGGTAGCATCGAGGGCAGCAACGAAGTTCAGCAAGCCAACAACTGCGAAAATGCACTTGAGTTGCCAGCTTGGGTGCCACTCGGGCGATTGATATTTTTCCATAGTATAAGACATAGTTTTTCTTCTCTTTTTTTTAGTTCGCAGTTCAACCTCTTCAACTTCAAGTTGGAGAAAGAAAAAGGAAGGCATGGACAAAACCGAACTTGTAACGACAAACAGCACATTTATAAATTTGCTAAACATGATACCATCCAAAAAATGAGGCATCCTAACCGCGCCTATGATGAATTTACGCCAGCAACTATGCTGGTATTAGCTGAATAGTATTCAAGACCGCTCAAATGTGGACAATCTTGCATCTATGTACGATGGTCAACCACCTATCACGACTCTTGAAAATGTAGATCCCAACTATATGACCTCAAGCAATGTTCTGTGCTACGATTCTGGAACCGGATTTTCTTTGTGTTTCCCACCTTGTTTACCAAAACACACTTCCAGGGCTACTACAGCTCGGAGTAAGGGCATGTTTCATTGGTCGGGTCCGATAGACGATGAAGCCACACACACTGAGTTGGCTTAAGAGGCTCTCGGCATCGCCGATCTGGTTAAAATAAGACACCGGGGTCAATTGTCGGCTCCGGAGCCTCAAATTCCAGGCAATCAATGATGAAAATTACAACAAAGAAGGTCTTATTGGTCCAAGGAGCCATGCGATTGATCTGTTCGGGGGAGGCCGATTCTTGTACCAGAGTATGAAAACGGATCTACTTCCCACTGGATCGATGTACGTTTTTGCTCCACAAGATCTAGCACATCTCACTGCACAATGATGCTATTTACCGACGTCTGGAGTAATCTTGTGGTTCGATGATTCCAAATTCAAGTTGGTCGTTCTCGTTCTCCAGCGACCAATAAACAGATGTCGTGGGCCGATGGCGCAAGGGCCAAAGAACGAACAGTGTGGCGCGACGGACCGAGAGCCTCGACCACCAGGAAATTCAAAGCGAGCATCGACTTTTCCAGCTGCGCCCATCAGATCTCGGCTATCGGCTTGCTAACCCTGACTCGGATTTTGTTCTTCGTTGTCAAGCTTCCTTCTTCAAGCCACCGGGGGTTGGCCGTAGCTGAGGTGGCCTACCAGACTTTGGGCTCTTGGGCTCGCGTACGCATGTCGGCGCATTGTCAACCGTTGAGGAATGAGCGAGCAGAATACAAGCGACGCCCAAGACTAGAAATCCCCCGCCACGTGTGATGGCTTCAAGGTTAATCTAACCTGATCTGGCCTCGAGATGGGACATTGTGTGGACGGATAAGGACATATTGGCCTCAGCGGTGGTCTAGCGCCTCATATGTACATCCTCACAGCCTAAAAGCTGGCCGTGGCTGCCTGATAAGTGTTAGGCTCTAGCTGAGCTACGCGTTCTACTCGGAGAGATAATTTTTATCTATTCAATCAATTCACTGGGTCAAACCAGCCTAGACTCCCTCGGAGCTAGCACGGCAATAATACCTAGGACACTCATCGGCAGAATCACGCAGACAACGGACAAAAAAAAGGTTCAGATAACTGCCAGTGTGAACCAGTTGCGCAAAAAGTGTAAAAAGCCGACCATTACAGCGGTGGAAACATCAGGAAGCAACGCGTAGAGAACAGCAGGCGGGGAGAAGACAGACCTGATAAGAGAACATTGTTAAATCGTATTCCTGTTCGAATACTTATTTTCCCACCCCAATAGAAGGGGGAAAAAAAGAAAAAAGGAAAGCAAAAGCAAAAGCAAAACGCCGTCCGATTGATGAAGCCGGGTATATCCAGCACCGTGATGCAACATGTACTGAGAAGAGCAAAAGAAAAAAAAAGGTCGATCAAACAGAGAGTAAGGGGATCTTGAGCTCGTCGGGACATCAGGTCGCCCTCGCCCACGCCCTCGCCGATATGAGAAAGTAGACATGACATGAAAATAAACCTGCTTTTTGGATCCAAGGACGTCTTCATCTTGCACCGATTCCGAACATGCCCACGCCATAGCTCCCGCCTCTTTCGGAAAGAGGGGTGGAGACCTTGGAAACATGATCCTGTTGTTCCTTCAATTAGTAAAGGCTCTGAGGACAACAGGCCAAAGTTCAGTCGAAAAGCCTCATACCTTCTTTCGTTTCTTCTTTCCGGTTCCCTCGCCATTCGAGTAGAATCCGGTATCATCATCGTCATCCGCGTAGCCTTCGCCGTAGCCGACGAAGCTGTTGTCATCATAATGTCTCTTCCGACCGCGACTGGCCCGGGGCCGCTCGGATTCCTGCGTTCCCGATGCGGGCGAGTGTGCTGGAAGGGCAGAGCGGCTGCCTGGGGTGGGCGCGGCCATCTTTTTACCAGTGTCGCCAGAGCCCTGATTTTTGGCAGGCTTTTCATGTCCCAGTATGTCCTCCCAGAAATCATTGTTTGGTACCATTCCTGGCTCCAGCTGCATTGCCCGGGATTGAATACCCTGCAGAGCGTTATCAATATCCGAGACCTTGATCTGCTTTCCGAAGACCTGCTGGTTTTGCCACTCCTCATCCGGCCACGTGGTGAGCCATGCAAGAGTGCCAGGTGCTGCTTGGACCTCATGCTTGACCGGCTTGTTTCGTCCGGCCAGTCCTAGTCCTTTCAACTTTCCCTCATAGGATTTTCGTAACCGATTAATTTTCTCGCCCGTGTTCGGGTCTATGCGTGCTACTGATTGCGCAATCGAGGTGAGCCCATAGAGGGAGATGAGATCCAAGGATGGATCGGGTCCAGTCACAGTAGGCACTGTTAAGCAAGTAGAAAGATAGCGTTAATAAGTTTGATTTCAAGAATGTGCAAAGGGCAGAGCAATCACGCAACTGCACCTGTGGCAGTCATAACCAAACTCGGGGAAATCTTACAGCTCTTGCAGAGATGGAAAGCCGAAGTGAAATCGTTCTGAAGGGAATCTAAGCCGAGGTTCTGGGCCTCGCTCCGTACCACAGATTCGTTATCCACGTCCATGGCGTCTCCGTCGGGTTGTTCCTTGGCAAAGTCCCGCACACTGGCGCCTGTGCCTGTCATTGAAGGTTGCCGTTGGTGGTCTGTTCGCCTGTACTCTGTTTTTTGTTGATCTGAAGTTTCCGCGGTCCGTGCGGAGTCCTGCGCTATGGAGTTGAAGGATTTGTGATCTGCGTCCTCCCCAGATGTCGCATTCATATGCTGTCCACTCACACTGCTGGCAGGGGTGGGGAATGAGTTTGTCGTGCTCATAGTCGGTTGCTGAGAAACCTGGGTTGACATCGGTGCGGATGAAGGAGGAGATGAGGTGTTTGGAGGTTGAGAATTCGCCTGATTCGGTGATGTATGGGAGGATGTAAAGTTGGAGACATGGTTTGAATCGCTGACCGACATCAACGGAGGTGATATCGGGGTTTGGGGGATGTGATCCGAAGAGATGGGAAGCTGGCGGTTCTCTTTGAGAAGCCCGGCAGCGGGTGAAGAGGGCGAAGGAGGTCCGGCTCGGAAGGTTGTTGAGAGATCGCGCTCAGACATGAAGATCCCGGTGAATGATCAATCCACAGGCGCCTTCTAAGCTGAGATGGACTCCGATCCACCGACGTTAGGCCTGTATCGCAGGCTTCGACACGAGCGCTGGCGCTGGCACTGGTACTGGTACTGGTACTGGGGAGGGGGCTGCCGGTCGACTGATGGTCGCTCGGGCGACGGGCGAGCAGGTCGTTCGACGGCCGGGTCAGGTCATATGCATTCCAAACAACCGAATAAACTCCGCGCGAGGGTAATCGAGTGGTTGGTAGATGGGATGGCAGTCGGAGGAGGGGGGTTGGTCAAGATGCAGGTCGAAGGCGGCGCTGAGATGGAGGCAAACGGCCCGGCGACAGGTAACGTGACCGTCCTCGGGCCTTGGCCTCAAAGGGCGGCTTTGCTTCCGGCAATGCCCTTTGGACCACTAAAGCCTTTGTAGATCTAATTGGAGTTTAATGATGCTTATTTCATGTCTGATAGGTCTTAAACTCCCTAAAAAGAATATACAAAACAATTTGTGAGACGATTCCGGTTCTCTTTGGCCAAGAGTACCCACTGCCTGCATGTCTTTCGAGTCACCTTTGATGTCTTCTATGTCTACTTTCTTTTACTGGCTAGGTATTGAACAGTTTACTTTCACCCGGTTAAAAAATCCACGGAGATGCTGCATATCAATGTATATGATTATTTGAGCTTCACTAGGCTGAGCGCTGTCTAATCGCAGAACTATCAGTCTTCCAATGAATGATTGGCGATCGGGATCCCGATCCCGATGCCCGCCAACGCTTGGATGTAAAAGTTTCACACAACACAGTACTAGAGGCAGAATACACAACATTACTGAATGACAAATGTAACCTTCATGAAGGATGAATTTTTCCTATTAAAGTATTATTTGACCAGCTTTGACAACCTGTATAACGGCAAAGAGGAGAATCACGCAGACCCGCAGCTTGTTAGACTATCATTCAAATATTATCTGGTATTCTAGGTATTGATTCCAAGGCTGAGAACAGACCAAATTGGCCATGAGTTCAAACATGGGCATTGATAAAAATAGGTATATGTCAAAGAGACTTGCCAATCAAAAAAAAAAAAGAAAAAATCAAGTGGAGTTCAAAACAAAGCCAACACAGAACCGTATCGCCGATGCTCCAATTATTCACAAATCCCCCCTTAAAATGGAAAGATAATCAGAGAACCCTGGCGTTATTTCACAGATTTCATGACTGGTAAAATGCGTTTGACTCGCGAACCAACTGGGCAGAGACGTCTGGAATATCGTGCTCCAATGACGCCATCAATTCGATCTGCTCCTGTTGACTTAAAGTGCGCTCCCGCCATGTTGGTATTGGAAAGGGCTCATTGAAATACTGAGAGTATTGGTCTCCAATGGAGGTTGTCCATTGCATGGGATCGACGGTGGCGTCCACGTAAGCTAGGTGACCAGCGGTCGTAGAAGCGAGAGAGAAGTGAGGATCCCAGCCTTGTAGCCCAGGAACCACCGAAGGAATCGTGTTATAAGGGGTGTTGGGATCGATGGATACATCTGGATAATGAGTGGTTGGTGCGCAATAGGCTTGAGTTGTGAGATGCTCAGCCTCTCCTGGGTCATGGGAAATTGACTGCATTCGAAAAGACGAGGCTGTGGCAGGGACCGGCGGAGTCTTAAATGAGTCGGTGGTGAATGTTGGAGGTGTCGGCTGCTGGAATGGTATTGAAGGATCGGCAGAATGGCCTCTTGACAAAGTACCGGTTGATGAAGTGTCGCCAATAGAAGGGTTGTTATGACGATAAGTCGAATGAGAGTAAAATGATGCTGTCGTAGTACTGGATGGGCTGGACATGGCTGGGGGTGTCATGACGCCCTGGGAAGATGTGGGAGTTGGGTGATTAGAAGGAGAATGCACGACGAACGACTCCTCTGTGCCGTATGCTTTCAAGCAGGCGGCGACAAGCCGTTTGTAGAGGAGCAAAGCGGACTGAACACCTGGCCACCGTTCAGCAGCAAATACAATGACTTCCAGAGCCATATCAAGATACCCCTGTACTTCATCTTCGGGGTGTTCCTTTCGAATTTCAGGGTATGAAAGCGCCCAGAGGACGGTATTGAGGACCATGAAAAGTGATTGGGTGAATATCCAAGTAAGATCAACCGAGCCAGTAAGCATCTGCTCTCGGTGCATAGCAATATTGAAGGTGGCAGCTTCGTAGCAGATCTTTGCTGCATTCACGGAAGGCTCTGGGATTTGAGGGGATGGTCTGTACATGAGAATCACAATTGTGTTCTGCCGTCCTTGAAACCTGGAGAAAGTAGAGAAACACCGATTAGCTAGGCAAATCCCAAGGATATAATATATCAAAAGGGCAAGTGATACCATTTGATATTCAAACCACTCCCATCGTCATGTTTGGGACAAGTTGCCATCCAGTGGTCGAGCTTGGCATTCATCTGGGAAAACCAGGGATCTTGGTCATCGACAGGAGTATCTCGCCGGTTGAGGTAGAGTTCTCGTCGTCCTTCCAACTGAAGCAGTCGCATTTTGAAGAAATGAACGGCAAGACATTTTGGGATGATTGGCTTTGCCCCCGGGATGATTCCTTCGCTCGTAATGTATCTATCGTCCACCAATTCGAAGAATTTCACGTCGAGGTTGTCGTGAGTAACGCTATAGCAACTGGAACGACCAAGACTATGAGAAAGCCCAAATTCCATGGAGGTGACGATCCAGAATAATCTCCGCCGCATGTCAATCTCCAGAGGGTTAAAACTTTGACCAGAAGAAGATTTGGTAATTGTAGCTTCTTCCGTCAACCCTAGCTCTTGGCATAGTTTCACGGCTGTTCCAACGACCCAGTATGCAGCTGTGCGCGTTGGAGTGAGCATGGAGTATTGAGCAATAAGCACTAAACATTGTAAGGCTCTCAAATCCATTTGCTTGAGAGTGGGTTCCAGGTACGGAAGAGCTGCCAGGTAGTAGCTGTCTGCCAGACCAGCATAGTCAGTGCTTAGTTTTTGCATGCTGATTGCAATCACCATTCGAAGTTGAAAGTTATGGCACGGGTCATTCGAGCCACCAAAGACCTCTTCAACTTCTTGCCGAAAGCTCGGTTCATGTAGAGTCGGGAGAAGTGCTTGTGCTAGTAAACGTTAGTTATAATCGCAAACGATAGCATTGTACCAAATATTTGGCCTTGCAGCCTTGCAGTACCTTTTGCCACAAAGAGGTCGATCAATTTATATGTCAAGTTTTGCGGGGGCAGATTGGCTTGTGGTATTGAACTGATCATTGGATAGACTTTGGATGTCGGCTTCGAGTCTTCCTGCGCGAAGGCGGCCTTAATTTCGTGGGCAGTCAGTTCTGGGACCACGTCTTTGATGCTTTTTGAGTCGGTGTTCTGCTTGGCCATCTCCATGACTAGTCGTGTGATTGCAATGCCACTTGAGGCCCCCAAGTATCGTGGCTCGTCATTGTCTTTGAAGCGGATGCGACCAGCGCCCCGCACCATCAACTCGGCGTCGGCGGCATGTTGGATGTCCTTTTCGGCCCGGGCGAGCTCCTTCTCCAGGGCTCGAGCTTTCTCTCTCAGCGAGACGATATAGGTTCGTGGGATAGTGGTGTCTCTCGTTGAGTCATAGTAGACACATTTGGCGTTGCTTCGTTCACAAGGGGCGCATCGTGGGATGCCAGGATCACATCGGGATTTTCGCTATGGAGGACAAAGCATTGTTAGCAATGATTTGTGGGAAAGGGATCGGTCATGATCTGATCTGATCTGATTTGATTTGATCAGGACCAGGATCTGGAGCTCGATCTCGATCTCGATCGCGAGTATGTGGACCGTGGGGGAGGGTTGAGTTTATTTTGACGGGAAGTTCTTGGAAGGTAGCACCGACAACGTACCTGTCGACACCTGGTGCAGGCCGTCAAAGTGTGCGCGATGCGACCGTCGGGCGGTTCAAACGAGGGAGACTCCGGCGACAGCCCGGCTGTAGCAGAATGCGCGCTCTGGGTCATGGCGTGTCGATGACCTTTTTGAGCCCAGGGCCCGCAGCGAGAATAAAAGAGAGAAAGCAGGTCACATGCGATACAGAGGGAGTAGTAGAATGAGACCGTTCACGGCACGTTTAATCGATCCACCAGTCGCTCTTGGCACAGCCGACATGGTCCGTCGGGGAGAAGAGGGGTGTGTGTGGGGTCCGAGTGGGAAAGAGGCAGAGTGAGAGCGCCTCAAAAGTTGGGTAATCCAACGGTCGGAAACGTCTCAAAGGGGAGTTTATTTAACAACACATGATGGGAGACTAGGGCAGAGCAAGGCAGAGGCGGAGGGTGGCCCTCGGTCCAGATCTAGATCGACGGGGACTGGAGTTTGGAAGCGACGGAAGGGTGGGGAGTGGGGAGCGAGGGGGGGGAAAGATAGGTGGACGGTGATATGATGTGATGCGATTTGTAGCCTGGAGGCTCCAGGTGGGTTGTAAATGGATGGTGGCAGCTGAAATGGTGGAACCATTCAAGCTGGAATTGAAATTGAGAGGGATTGGGAGAGAATTAGGAGAGAATTGGAGGGGGGGAGAGAAGAGAGAAGAAGGAGGAAGAGGGAGATGATAGCTATGACAGGTGGAAGTGGTGTACAGATGGAAGGAGCAGTGCCAGTGCAATAACAGTCACATTCCATCGCACCTTCCGTTGTTGCGTGTCTCAGGAAACGTGACTCGGCCAGGACTCTGTCCTCCGTCCTCTATCTTTCGTACTCCGTCTCTACTTCCAGTTTCCTCTACTTTCTTTGTTTCTCTCTTTCAAAAGAAGTGGATCCCAAAACATCCTTGCCACAAGTTCAGGCCTCTTTTTTTCCTTTTCCATTTCCATTTTCATTTTCATTCCCATTTACCCTCCTCCGGTTAAGGCTGTCCTACTTAATATCGGCCTGCACCAATCCTCGCTTACCGCTTTGCGACTTATGCAGGTCCTAAGAGGGGCTAAACAACAAGCGCAACGGTCCCCCAGAGACAATTAAACAATAATCATAAGATTATACACAAAAAGTATAACTGACTCGCTTCTCATCATGTGAGTCTCCAACGGCGATCGGGTGGGGTTTTGCGCAAAAAGGTTCCCCCCCCAGCCTGAGGTGGCCCAAGAGCGTGTGGCCCAAACAGCCAAGTCACGACTCGCGGACCATCCAGAGAACGAGAACGAGAACTGAGAATCTGCCCTGCCCGCTAACACTAATTATTCCCGTAGTGGCTCTCCGTATCCACATCTCACCACATCCCCCAGTCCAGTCCCATCCTGGAATCATCGACGCATCTACTCCACGTTCTGCCAAATACGAGAGCATGAACAGCCAGGATGCCGACAGCCACCACCTTCCTGGATAACCCGTTGCTCAAGGTCAGCCGCCCTGTTGCCGCTTGCTCTCGATGTCGAACCGCCAAAA